TTGGGGCATCTCCTTCCTCACCTCTTTCTTCTTCCCACCAACTCCGAATTCACCTCTCCCTCCTTAGCCCCCATTCCCCTCTTTCCCAACTCTTAATCCCCTTCCCCATCTAGTCCTCTGTCCCTTTCCCCCCATCCATAAATCTCTATGTCTCTGGTCATGACCCTTCCCCCAGGCCTCTTCCCTCTCTTTTGGTTTCAGTCTCTCCGTCTCTCTTTGTCTATCTCTCTTTTGGTCTTGGTCTCCATCTGGTTCTTTCTCTTTCCTTTTGTCTTTTTTAGAACCAGCTCAGATTTGAATTCTTCACAGTGTAATTCCTGTGTAATGGCACATTCAGAGGCCATGAGGAGGTGGGGATATGTGATGGGGCAGCAGGGTGATCGTTTGCTGCGTGACTCCCTCTTCCAAGGACACTTCATGGTGGTGTTTGTCCTGAAGTTCCCACATGCTTCGTTTTTGACCCCTCTTCATTCCAAGTGGCTTTCAGGAACCCTGTGAGCTCAGCAGAAATGCAGTATGGAGGGCCTCGAACAGCCTTCCTGCTGAGCTAGGGCCTTTGGAAGAGGATGGTGCCTCCGAGAGTGGTTTCCCAGGCTAACCAAAAGAGCCAGGGAGAGAAGTAGAAGGCAAGGATCTGCAGGAACAATTCCAAAATAAGAATATCAGTGCTCTGAAGGCAGGGCTTTCTTCTCTATCCCTGGAGATATCTTCGATTGCTTTGGGAACAGGGAGGTCTGATTCAAAACTGGTAAAATACCCATCTTACCCCTCAACAGGTACAACACTGCCCTTGGCAGGTGTTCAGTAAGTTCTGGTTAAATGAATCTGCCTAAACTGGAAGGCATCCTTGAAGCTCTCCTCATACTGCCTGGGAGTGAGCTATGAATGGTGCTTCATTCCAAGTCCTAAGCTGGTGGTTTTGCAAAGAAATCTTTGAAGGAGTAGTTTTTAGGCTTTTAGGAGATGATGTCAGCTTCTTCTCTTGTCCTCCCTGTCTTTGGCCATGGGAGGGGCTGGGAGTTCAGGTGCTGAAGTCCGCTGTGTAACAGAGTGAGTGTGTCCTCTGCTTGCTGAGAACTGAGGGAGGAAGGAGTTGGCAAAGGGATGACATAAGCCAGTACCCTGGCCACCTGCCACCACCAACCCCTCAATGCAGCTCTTCTCCCCGACAGTCTACGTCAGTTTGTTTGAATTATAAGACCTATAGGTCACAAGCCAACATGTACATGGGGTTCACCCTGGTTCTGGGAGGTGAACATTGTGACAGCCCCCTTGAGACAGATGAGATCAGAAATAAAGAACGTGGTGTCTGAGCATCCTGGTTTTGTTTAATTTTCAGGCTGGAGAGAATGACATTCCCCACTCTACCCCCAAACCCAGCTTGGAATTCCCCTAGCAAACTGTTTGCTAAGTTTGGCCTACCTGCTGTACATTAGTTACTTCCATGTTACTCTAGCAGCCTTTAAGGGATTAAATCAAGGCAACTCTGTTGTCCCCAGCTCATAACCAAGTGTTTGGTATATGGAATGAAACTGAGATGGCTTCAACTAGGTCACGTAGGACTTTGTTAAAGCCCTTCCTGTGTTTGTAAGTAATAAGCTTGCCAGGGCGGGGTTCAAGACTTTTCTAGGCAGGCTGAACTGGTCTGCTTTTCAAAGTCCATTTTTATTTTGATATAATAATGTCCAATAAGGGGAATGGAAAATGGGAAAGAAGGAAAAATGATTCAGAAACTTAGCAATTTAGATAGAACCATAAATGCAACAGTCAAAGAAATGAAACACTGAAGACATAGTGATTCTTCATATTTTGCTTTTTACTGGTGTTTCACATCCTTGTGGCTCAGGATTGAAGCAGTAACACGTGTCTTGAAGGTATACAATATAAATAATTTATCTTCTTAATACATCAAATAACCCCATATTATCTGACAAAGATTTTCACGAATGAAACCCTGAAATATGCAAGTCACATCTGAATATGCTCATAAAGTACGTAAGCTTTGCCCCAGGGCTGTTTTTCACAAGTCTTCCTTGGGCATGGAAGGAAAGGGGAAGGCAGCTTTAATGTGGCTGTGTAGAATCCCCACATGCCTGGTAGGACTGCTGTTGTCTTCTAGAACCCTGTGAGATTATAGTGAGAATCCTAGAGTCCGCAGAAGCTTAACACATCAGTGGCTTTGACCTTGAGTGTTCTCTCTGGACCTCCTGATCTGTGCATCTTTCCTCCTCTGCCATGTGGCCTAACCCTCTGCCTGGGAGAGTACTGGCACCTGGAACTCCAGAAGGTCACTGGTTTTCATTGCTATGATCAGCCTTTATTGGTCACGTGGAAATTTGGAAACTTCAACATGAGTCAACTTTGATGCTCCATTTTACTGTTATTTTTTTTATTCCAAAGCAGATTAATTTTACAAGCTGGTAAATTTCTCTAGACATTGACTTGGTGAGGTCTGTACCTTCTGTGAAAGATATTAACAGTTTGCTCAACACTGGTCATGATCATAAACTTTGAGTTCCTGACAATTAAAACAAATTAGTAAATAAATCACAAAGTCTTAGCGCACCTCTAATGGTTCATAATTATTAGCTCCGTTGCTTAGAAAAAATAGTTTTTAATCCACCTCTGCTCCCTGCACAGCATAGGGTGAGAGTGATCACTAAATAGGGAGCAATCTCATCTGCAGTTGGGTTCAGGAATAATCACCATGAGTTTTTAAAAATGGTTACTTTGACTCACTATTTCCTCTGGAAAAGTGCGGCCTGCGGTAAGAGCTCTCTTGCTTCCTCCATCCCAGGTGTCTTGTGTCTCACCCTGGGAAAATCCCATGTTCTACTTTTTCTGATGTTGCAAGCTTCCATCTTACTCTTTCAAAGCCCCCTCATAACCATTAATGGTGTAACTTGCTGCCGCCCACTAAAATTCAAGAGAATATACTAAATTAAAAATGGTTCTGCATTGCCTCTTATCTGACTAGCATCTGTGGGTGTCAGCTGCCAACAAGTAGCTCGGGTGTCTGGGCCGCTCCTGAATACTTACAAGCTGACACACTCTCTTCTGATACAAGGTACTTTCAAATATGCATGCGAATTTCATATAAATTTTGTATGCTTAAGCACTTCCCATCAGAGAATCGCTTAACCTGATAGAATGACTTGGCTGGACCTTTCAGAAAGCGGGATAGAAATATCACTAGCATCATAGAGCAAGGATAAATACTTCACTCTGAGTTTTGCTGAGCCTTTCAGACTGTTTCTGAGCACAGCAGAAAATCTGGACTTATATATGAGGGACGGCATAGAGGTCAGGATGGAGGCAGATAGGGTCATGGTCACCAGGACCCCCAAGGAGACTACAAAGTAATGGCTAACTCCTCATGTGGTTTCAGTGGTGATAAAGGAAGATTTTATTCTTTTGGTTCTTACCTAATCAACCACCCTTGTTTTGATGATATGTGTACCTACCTCATCTAAAATTCTACATGTTTGAGTTCAGACATGCTTTGTTAAGACTGTCATGTTCAAACAGAATACACAGTGTGTTCTCCAGAGAGACAGTATATCTGTGTAGACAGTAAAATATCAAAGCATTGGCAGTCGTTTGTAGTTTATTGGAATCTTTTATTCTTCTAATTCTGTGTAAGGTGCTAAAAGATCTCTATCTAACTGAAATTTGCATAGAGTGAAGTATTTATTTTATTGCTTTGATGCTGCCTGTTGTAGTGACAGGTTAGTGTGTAGAGGTGCTGATGGTGGTGGTGGCAGTGGCGGTGGCGGTGAATGTTGCACCCAAGACCTGTTCTGTTAGAATGCTGAAGTTCCTCTTTAAGGGCAAGAGCTAACTTTCCCCTTTTGCACATCCTTTTCATTTTGTATCACAATGAAGTTCATGAAGAGGAAAAAAAAAAACAAAAACCACAATCCACTATTTTTCTTAATGCAGTTTTGCATTTACTGTTTTAATTTCATCTGAGACCTATTTTAATTTCATCATGAGCTCTTGATGCCAGGTTTCACATTAACTGATGAGCTGTCATTAATTGATTAGGATCCACTGTGTCAGTTTCTTTGTTCTGTCATCCTGCTTGTCTGCTGGATCAGAAAGTGGGATGTTAACAAAGGAGTCACTGAGGTTTGACAGGGGTGTGTTTCAGACTAATTGGTATGAATACCGACTCTACAATGTGGCGATGGTGTTCGTTGTATCAGCATTTTTCGACAGTTCATCCAACATGTCTCTTTGGTAGTATGATCTTTCCCCGGCCCTTCCTTCTTTCTGCAAAACACCAACCTAATAAACAGAACAAATATGACCCTTGCTTTGTTCTGATCTTATTTCTATACTTTTAAGTGGACTCGCTCACTGCTATCTTGGTATCTCTCCCATCATGTTCAGAGATAGACTCGTCTGCTGTGACTCATTCGGAATTAGAAGCTGCTCCCCACAGCTGACCCGGTGGCTGATGGTCGCCCACATGCACCACAGCTGGCCTACAGCAGTGGTTTATTCTGGTGCTGGTATAAGAGTCTGTGAGTATCAGCTCAGGGCTGAGATCGTCATGTCATGTGGCCTCAATTCTTGTCTCCCTACCCAGACTGCTCGCTGGAAGCTCAGCCCAAATATGTTAGAGGTGGGAAGCGTTACGGACGAAGGTCCTTGCCTGAGTTTCAAGAATCTGTGGAGGAGTTTGCGGAGGTGACAGTGATTGAGCCTCTAGATGAAGAAGCACAGCCTTCACACATCCAAGCCAGTGACTGCAACGAGGTAAGAAATGAGACTGGCACCTCCCTCTGGACCAAGGGTGTGGGCCCCACATCTTATGGGGCAGAAAAAGGAGAATCGGAACATTCTCTTAGTTGATCAGATGACTTGCTTTTGAACGTTTCTTACTAATTATTCTATTTAGTGGTTTCATACCCATTCCAACATTTGGAGAACCAGTAATTCTCTGCATGTTTTGAATTTGAATAGGTTGTTCACTTTCATATTATCTGAGACCTGTCACTTCCAGTTCTTGGAACTGTCACCTCCAGGACACTGTCATTTTCATCTAAAAAGCTAACTACCCTTCCCCTGCACCATCCCACCCAAGCCAAACACCTATCAAATAGTTTCCATGACAGGTAGGATTTGAAAGCAGTGTCTGTAGGCATTTGGGGAAGGTCATCTTATCTTTTGTGGTAGGAGAAAGCAGCTTTAAATAGCACTTGCTACCGTTCTTACTGGTTCTGTCACAGGAGGGTCATCTCCCGCTGTAGCATGCAAAGATTTGCCTGCCTCCCTCGCCTCCCTTCTTTTCATTTTATATATTGCCAGAATCTAACCATAAAAAAGCAAGCAGTAACATCTTCTTTATTCCTTCTTCACGGCTCATTTACCAGCATCCCATTTATAGAACATGATCGAAAGCACCATGCTGAGCAAGCTCTAAATATTTTTTGCAAACCCAAGCTCAGACTGGGGATGCAAATATTTCAGATATTAATATGAACTGGAAAAAAAAAAAGAGTACCTTGACTTAAGTCTGTGGATTGTAAGGTTTTGTTGCATCGAGGTGGGGGCGTGTATGAGAGGAGGCTCCAAAGTCCATGCTCAGGGAAATCTATGGGAAACTTGTTCTAAAATAATGACCCTAGCCATCCCACAGCCAGCATCTTCAGCTTTCCAGAACGCCTCAAAACCTAAAGGTAACTAGAGAAAGTATTGGGCAGGGAGAAACCCAGCTGAAAGTTACACAGTTAAGAAGACCCAAGTCTGGCGTGATGAGCACAGGTTTGCACCATTTTTCAAAAGCAAATCGTCACTGTCCTCACACCAAAAAGGCTGGAACAGTGGCAGAAATGAGCAAGAGGAAGGGAAAAAAGGAATGGGGTTGAAGAGTGAGAGAAACCACAAAAATGCTGTAAAAATAGTTTGGTGACAAGGGACAGCGGAACCCAGAAAAGCTAATGAAAAGCAAGAAGGGAAGCCCTGCCCGCATCTCACAGCCTAGGGTCAGGCATTCTGCACAGAGGCTGTGCCATGCTGAGTTCAGTCCATTGCAGACCCTCTCTGGGGTCCCTTTGATCATATAGATAGAGCTCTTTACCCAGGAAAACATAACTCATATACACAGCAGTTTTGCATATGCAATTTTCAGTAATTTGCATACTTATGCATAAGTTAGTGCAGTGTTTGTAATATTTATCTTGCTTGTCAGGAAGGGTATCATTTTATTACATACAGTCTGTTTCGTAACCCTGAGTAGAATGGCATGTATTTAAGACACTTCTCTAGGGAAAAATAATGGTTAAAATATGTCATGACACTTTAGGGGAGAGCTTTTGTTATTTGGAAAACACAAAGTTTTAAGTCTGGTCTCTCTCCCACCATTTTCTATACCTGGTATGTTATCATTGGGTACTTAGAAATTAAATTACATATTTTTTGATAATAAAATAGTTTTACTTACCATCTGGGGGTACCCAGAAAGTTCTTAGTTAGGCAAAGTTGACTTTGTTGCTGGCAACATAATTCTTGTATCCCTTTTTTAACTTACCTACTGATTTCTTGAAAGATTTCTTGTTTAAAAGGCGAAACTTTGCTTTCATGTCTAAATAGAGGTAAGAGTTAAGGCATGAGTCTGTGCAAAAATCTTGTTGCTTGTGACTTAGTCAAAGAGTATGTTGTACCTGCTTTGTATTCTGCTTCCCAGACTCCTCCAAGTTTCCTCCAGGGTGTGACCTTTCACATTGTCTATGGATGTTCCAGTTTTCAACCCCACAATCAGTGGAACAGCAAGTAGAGATCCAGAAAGGGTCATTTCTCCCTAGATCTCTTCTCCTTGAGGACTGGAGTTTGAGATTCTGCTACAGCCCATACCAGAAAGCAGATGGGCCTCCCAGATAATACCTCTTACTCTGTCTTTTTTTGTTTTTAATTGCTGAAATTAGACTCAAAACAAAGCCACCTCCAACTGCTTTGTTGCTTAAAAATGAACTGTGTTGCATTGAGCCTGTCAGTTCCGAATCAGTTTATCCTTTTAAAAAATTAACAGTCTCAAACATTAGGGCTTTTTCTTATTGGCAGTAAGGCCAGTACCAGCTCCCTGCAGCCACTATAATCTTGGGCTGCCCTCACTGAAGTAAGACCTGGTGGCAGAGTCTGGTCAGGGGTGGGTCTGGCCTGCCCACTGTGGCCTCGTGGCTAGTGTCCTTCGCAGGCTCAGCAACGTAGGGACCCTCCTTTAGCTAGTACAAGTCCATTTGAGGGGCAGCAGGGCTTGCTCTTGAAACCCTGGGCCCTTCTTCAGAAGCTGGTTAGGGCTCCTTGGAGTGCAGGTAGTTTTCATTTTTCAGAGTTGACATCTCCCTAAAGGGGAATATAAAGAGGAAAAAAGATTTGCACTAACCTATGAGATTTATCTATTTAAAATCTGTCCTGGGTTCTCTGTTGTATTGTACTTCTCCCTCCCTTTTGGTTGCCTGAGATCCTTTTGTTCCTGCCCTGGGGTTAAGAATTTACTCCTGATGGGTGGTCTCTGACCACTCTCCCCTCGGTGCCACTGGGCAGTATTGAAGGAGGGGTTCCCCGCCTGGGTTATTTCATAGGTGTTGTCAGATGGAAGTAAGATCTGGGGCTTCTTAGTTTCCGCTGTGGGTTTCTTTTCTTCTTCTTTTTTTTAATAATATAAGTTTATTTTTACATAATTTTGTACATTTTTTTAATCTCAATTGTAATCCCCGTGGGTTT